AGGTTTTAAACTACATATTAAAACAATTTTAAGCTATGTGAAAATGTACCATGGAAAATTCTTATGTGAGTAGTACTGATATATCTTCTACATCTTTTCTATTACATTTCTAATAGACTAAAAATGTATTACATTGCACTGAATTTAACAGCCATAAAATACACAATTTTCTATGCCTATTTATACATACATAGATTTTTTTTAAAAATGCATCAATTATTAATACTCGTTACTAAGAAAATTTTGCCATTGCATGACCAAATTAAAAATAATAAAATTCGTAAACTTGATTAAATTATAAAATCTCTAGGACGCAATTATCAAATTTGTATGCCTATTAAAATTTATAAATGAAACTCACTTTTAATAATTATTCATGCCATTTGTACGGCTATGTTGCGAACATGCTTCGTTTTTCTCTAAATCACAAATTTTGTTACCTCATCTTGCATGACGCTTAATTCACTAGAATCCCTCGCATCATAATCGTATAATACCCTCGCACGTTCTTGACCATTTTCCGTTGATACATTGGATGTTGGTGGGGTAGTCGGATGATAAGGACCCCCAGATAAGCTGGGTAGGATAAATTACAATCTGGATGAGTTTGGTGAACATGCTTTAAAATGTGAGTCGGCTATTTTCTGCACAAATATTGCGAAGAAAGTTTGTTTCATGATATTTGACATTTTGACTCTATTCTTTATAATTTTAGACTTTTAAATATTAAAAACTCATAATAAAACGTTATAAGTTTTATTTACTTTTTTCTTTTTCAAAGACTTTTGAGAATATACTCCAAGAATTCTCACTATTTGCATCGTTAAAATGGATTTTATACATGGTATACATGCTAAATATAAATAAATATTACTTGAAATTATTAGAAAATTATATTGGTACACATATAGAGACATAAGCAGTTTGGCAAGTAGGACAACAAAGATAGATTGGTGGTTACTTATAAAACAAATTGAGGAAAAAGTACAATTAAGATAGTACAGCTTTTAAAGATACACTTACTAAAAAGTTGTGAAAAAAAGGCACCCACTACCTTCTGACAAACACACTGTTAGGATTAACAAATTTAGCAACATGCATGAAAACCAACAAACATCAATCAATAGCATATATTTGGATATTGATTAAAATATAAAGGGCATATATATAATAAAGCTACGTGTAGAGACTCTAATTTCTCACTGCACAAAGTGCAATAACAGCAATTGAACATTTCATAAATATAATTTATTGATTGCTTCTTGACAATTACAAGTTTCACAGTAGTATTATAAACTAAGAATCATTCAACGTATTTCTATATAGAATCGTTGCATTAGTTAACAAGGATTTATGTATCAGAGGAAAGAATTATCTCTGCCCTAAGCTTCCATTTATTATTTTAGATCATGAAAATTACGAAGTAGTTATTGCCATTTTTTAACGTTATTAACGAATTGTTAAAGCTACACTTTTGAAATTTCGGTATCGAAGGTAGCAGTAACATAGGCAGAACCAGCAAGTGGTGGGTGTATAGGGGAGTTTTGGGATTGTGAGGGAGAGGGTGTTAGCTCGATCACATCTTCGCTGTTGACTCGCAGCAAAGGACTCGGCTGACGCGCCCTGTAATCCCAACCATGCAAGCAAAGATAGAGAATAGACAGAGTATATTAAAAGAATAAATAAATATAACAAGCACAGGTCTAGTGCAGAAAGAAAGGTACACCATTTTCATCATGAAGTTTGTAACTGAAATAGAACAATTGCTATTAAAGCAAACAGAAAATTAAAAATAAACGTTACATATACCACGTTTATAGAAATAAGCAAAGTTCTGGATAGTAGAACTTATAATTATCTACGTGATGATCTTCGCGAATGAGTAATGGTTCTATAAGCTTTTTCTAAATACTTTTGCTTGTCACATATGACATAGCATCCAATGATTGTTAAACATTACTCACTCGGATCACCAGAGAGTAGGATAGCTATACAAGGATAGTGCAGGATAATTAAACAATACTTGAAAAAAGAACAAACTGTAAAAAAGAATTTGTCAGCTTACCCAGCCAGTTCGCGTTGCAAATCTTGCATCGTTGCGTGACACTGAGCGTAATGACGCGCCTGTGCTTCAACGAATTCATGCAAACAACGTAGGTGTCCAGCCTGAGAACTCGAAACTCCTTCCAACAATAATTTTACGATTTCTGCTTGACGATCGAACTCCGATTGTGCTATTCTCAACTCCCTCTCTGCCTGAGTAGAGTAATAAACAGTTTCATTCCTTGTTTCCAATTAAAAGAGATTAAAGTTTGATTGTACAACTAAGAAATGATTGAAAATGGGGATGGATCATTGAATAAATCTTGCAATGAAAAAATTTGACAATTGTAAATATGATTATGATGCAAAATAATAAAATAACGTGATGAAGGAACAAATCTAAAAGTTCAAACATATAAATTAAACATATATTTAAAAAAGTAGGAAGTTAGCTATAAATTTTGAACCATTGAATCAGCTCCAGTAGTACCTGATCAAGTAACACTTCAGGTGATACCCCAGATTCCTATGAGATGCAGCAATGTATAGGACAAAGCACATAGTAAACATATAGACCACGTAATTAAACGAAATAATGAATAATAGAACTTACACTCTGCTGGCCCAGCATACTTCTTGCTTTCCTTACTCTGTTTTTACATGAATCTAGGTCCAATCTAAAAATTGAAAAATTGTTATATTAAAACTAGACATTTCAACATATAAGAAAAGCAAAATACATACCGTTTATTTTCCAATATGGACATTTCTTTGGTAACAGTTTTCATTTCACCTTCCAAAAATTTTCTTAAAGGTTGTATATAACAATTGGCTGAAGTTTCAATAAAACTTCTTTCAATTTGCCCTAATTTTTGTTGACACTGACCAACCTTTATTAGTGCACTACCTAAAATGAAAATTGTAAAGGTAATAGATCAATTATGAAATAAAGTTACAGAGTAAAAGAGAATAGACAAACACACCATAAGCAATTCCTGGTCCAAAATCATTACCAGCTTCTATCATATCTATGCCTACATATTCTAGATTGCTTAACCTGTGAGGTTTCTTCTTATCAATCTTTTCATAAAAAAAGTCTTCAATTCTATTGCCTGTAGCAGAATATATTGTATAATAAATATGTAGAAAGTTATGATTTAGTTTCATCATCTTGTAATTAATTTTTTTATATTACCTGGATTTGGAGTAAGTACAGCCTCCATATTCCTAAGGATTTTTTCAGTCCATGTTTTAGTTGCATTTGCTCTATCTGAAAGATGCTCCAAATGTGCATCTAATTCAGTTTTTTCTGATGTTCCCAATGTTTCCTCTGTTAACTAGAGAAGAAAGTAAAGCATTATATTATTCTTATGTTACACTGTGATTCTGAACAGTTAATTTTTTACAGTATTTTAATTTTTCCAATTTTTTATGACATAATAATCAACATTTTTGATTTCCTAAAAGATTCCTTTAGATCTATTAAATCATTATGACATTAGCTTGGAAATTCAAGGGGACTACAGACTTAGTCATCCTAACTTATTTAATATGTTCTGAGTCATGGAATAATTAATTATTTAACTCATAGATATACATTTGTACTTTAGTATTATTCAAGATTAAGAAACTATACAAACGACAAGCTTTATCACGGTTAAGTGATACTGCTAAAAACAAGAAAGTTAATAACAAGCACAGTATAGAACGTAATCATCGAAATTCGATATATGTATTTACTAACCTTAGTCCTAAATAATTAAATTCAATGTATAAGCTAAAAACTATGAACGAAAGTATATGTACAATACTTGATAAATAAAAGTCATTGCAAAATATATAATTTTATAAAGTCTAGATAAAAATGTAACTGTCAAGTAACGATCAATTCAGTTAGAAGTTTTCCTCCATGAAAAAAAGTACAAAATGTCAGAAATGACAGCGTTCAGTTACAAGTGCCTTAACAAGAACACATTCTTGTCAATGAAAATTCGTTGAATTATTATATCGAGGATTTCTCACCTGCACAACCCTACTAAGTGCAGCACCAGCATCTTTTACTAATTTCTTTACATTAAAATCCATTTTTACGTCTATTTCGATGCGGATCTTCCACAATCACCCCTTGCTACTCTTTATTTTCTATCGACCACTAACTCCAAGTGTCTCCGTGAAGAGGCGCTCCGTTTACAATTTGCGTATGTAGATTTTGTAGATTTATATAAAAGAAAATTTAATTAAATTAAAAGAACCAATATTTTATCACATACAACGTTTTATTAAGAGCAACTTGTACATTTTCAAAACATATAGTATTATAAATATCGTGGATATTTTTAAAAAAATATGAAAGGTTTGAATTATTCTATAAATTCACAAAAGATCATTTGATATTAACAGTATAATTCAAATTTTTGAATAATTTCGGATGACATAAAAGTTGTTTGTTTTTGGTACAGACTTATATAGTAATAAAATCTAATATTCCGTGACAAATATTGTAAATATTGATAATGTTGACGTAAGTGAAACAAATGCGCATGACGTTTATTACTTTTATCGCAGTTTAAAAAAAAATGTTTTACGTTTGAATTCTGATTAAAAGGTATAGGTACATATTTTTATGTAACACATGAAGGACCCATAATATTGCACGCGTCGCAATTTGTGATCGGGAGGGAATAGTTAAGTTTGCAATTTGAAACCTTTGTCAATTAATGTTTTATTATTTAAGAATCTACTCATGCATAATTTGATTTTGAAAACCGTAAAACAGTGAGTAGTATATAAAAAGCTAGAGCAATATGCATGTCTTATCAAATTTCATTATTTTCAAAGTAAATAAAGGTACATTAACCTATACACATCAAGTTGACATACGAATCTTGCTTGACGTAAGATGTGTCAAGAATTTAACAAATTTTTATTTAACTTTACAGCATCACAAAATTTTTAATGAATTTTAATACATTAAAAAATGTATTTAATGACGATGTCACTCTTCGACACATAAAATATGTTCTATAAGCACATGCCTCTAGTTTTTACGTAATTCCGTGTGCATAGGTTTTATGAATGAAAAAAATACAGTTTTTATCATTTTCTCATGAACAATTTATTATTACATTTATACTTACATTTGTGATACAAATTTTGTAATTATTAACAAGTATTTATAAAAGATGTGACAATTTTCTTTAAATACAAATTTTAGGTTTCATACGAGGAAACTGTTAATAACTAATCAAAAAGAATTAAAATTTTCCTCTTCATCTGTTGTAAAAAATATTACACAGATTACAATGGTAGCTGAAGAGAAAGATTTAGAATCTGAAACAGTGCAGTTTGAAGAGCATACATTAACTTGGTTACACAAAAGTTCTCCTTGCTTCCCAATGAATGGATCTAAGGTAGAAACAAGAAATATTTAATTTATACAAAATTTGTGGTGTATTTAATGGAAACTTCTTATCTTCAGATCAAAATAATTCATGAACCAAGTGTGTTTTATTCTACTCTTATAGAGAAGTGTAAGAATGCAAAAAAAAGGATAACATTTGCATCACTATATTTAGGCACAGGAAAATTAGAATCTAATTTAGTAAGGGTATTTCAAAATTTATGCAACTAAAAACAATAATACGATAATTAATAATATTGTTATTATATATAGGTAAATGCTATAGATCAAGCTTTAAGTACAAGTAATGGTAATGTTGAAGTTAATATTTTATTAGATTTTATGAGAGGTTCCAGAGGTAAACCAAATTCCTGTAAAATGTTAGAACCATTACTTAATGGCAAATATGGTCATTGCTGTCAAATTTTCTTGTATCACACTCCTAAACTTCGTGGATTCTTAAAAATGATTATACCAGATCGCTTTAATGAATTAGTAGGACTACAGCATATGAAATTGTACATGATAGATGATGATATAATAATTAGTGGGTAAATATCTGAGTACTTTATTTTATGTAAAGTTACTTGAACAAAAAAGTAAAAACATTATTTTTTAGTGCTAATCTTAGTAATGACTATTTTACAAATCGACAAGACCGGTACTTTGTACTGGAGGACTGTAAAAAACTCTGTGATTTTTATAATGAATTAGTGCAAAGGGTGGGAGAATTTAGTTTTGTGCTCCAACCAGATGGAACTGCAACATTAAATTCTACCATCAATGTCCATCCTCTTAAAAATCCTACAGAATTCATTCAAGAAGCTGCATATAGTGTGAAAACTTTATTCCAAAGAGAATTGCAAGAATGTTCTGATCTTAAAAAAATAGGTACATGTATGTTTGTATCTACATACACTACCAGTCAAAAGTTTAGAACTACTTATCAAGTTTACACCAATACTGAGTTTGCTACCAATTTTTTATGGATTCACAATTAATGTTGCAGAGATCAATAGTAATTTATTTCAATTTGGTTGATTTGGGTAATGCAGAATTTATTAAAAGTCTTTTAATTTCTAACTACTTTCTGAAAAGTCTTGCATCATTCTTGATTTCAAACTTTTAGCTGGCTGTGTATATATTTATACAAAAAATAAACAAATTAAACTGTCTTTTCAATTACTTTAATAGGAAAAAACTTAGATGCAGATACTTGGGTCTTCCCTTCGATACAAATGGGTCAATTAAATATTTATCATGATAGTCACATAACATTGAAACTTTTACAGACAGCTTCAACAGGTACAACACTTAAATTAGCAACTGGTTATTTTAACTTAACTTCAGAATACAGTGAAGCACTACTCAGGCATTGCCAAGGAACTTGCCATCTTTTAACAGCACATCCAACTGCCAATGGTTTCTTTTGTAAGTTTATATTGTGAAAATGAGCAAATGACTACTATTTAATTTATTAGCTAACACAATGTAACATAAACATTGTACTTAGCTGCAAAAGGCGTTGCTGGTAGTATTCCAGCAGCTTATACAAAAATAGAAGAGTCATTTTTTAAATACTGTGATAATTTGGGACAGCAAAATAGAGTTACTTTGTGGGAATTTATTAAACCCGGATGGACGTATCACGCGAAAGGACTCTGGTATTCTTTACCAGATCAAGAAAAGCCTTGTCTTACGCTTATTGGATCCCCCAATTTCGGTAAAGTCAAACAAAATTAAAAATAAAGTAACAGTAAAATAATAAAAAGAAGGAATTAATTTTAGGTTATAGATCAGTTAAAAAAGATTTAGAGACACAAATTGCTATTGTGACCAAAAATAAAAACTTACAAAATGAATTACAAAAAGAACATGAACGCTTGTTTTCATGTGCGAAGCGTGTAACGAAAAATACATTTTTTGAACAAGACAGAATTCCGCCAACTTGGGTATGTGCTGCCGTTGCTCTGTTTCGATATTACTTTTAGTGTTATACCTGTGAAATGTCTGCCACATGTAATCTAAGTCATCTTTTATACATGGCTTCAGATTTTATACATGGCATCTTCTAACGAAACTCGTTGTATAAAATGAAAACTATAAAAAGGAATAATGAATCGGGTTATCAATTTACAGTTTCTTCATTTATCATTTACATTATGTTTAAAATTAGTGAAAAAATATAAATAAAAAAATCTTAGTATCCTTCTCCATTAATAAATATGCAAAATTGAATATGTGAACTAAATGGGTTTGATAAATAAAGAAGTACGTTGTACGTATTTATACTGATAATAATTATTTGTTGATTGACATACTATCCTGTATGGAACGTGATAAAACTTTATGGTACTATGATTGCGACGTTTTATACGTAACGTCGGAAAGGTGGAAGCAATTCCAATTAAAGTGCAGAAATAGTATAAGAGAAACTGTTCATAACCACTTAAAATAGTCATTTCAGTCGACTATTGAGAGTCACAATTAATGTGACTCTGGAAGATAATTACTTCGATGACACTTTTCACAAATGACTGAATCGGTTTTGCACTAGAGATTTCCAAAAATGGCAGAGAGGAAAACTTCTTCCGTACAGTTTTATTTTTCGTCGATGACAAATGTTTCTTCCTTGACGAAAAATTCTATTACTTCCTCTTCTACATTCTTCGAATCAGAATCTAATTCGTCGGTATCGATACCTAGAAGCGAAATTTAATTTCATGAAGTGTTTTAGATACTTCATTTAAAAATTTCAGACACTGTAGTTATTGTAATACAAACCATTACGTAATTCTAAACGTCGTTTCTTCTGATTACCCCATTCTTGAGTACGTTTTGAACGATATTCATCGAAGGCTTTCATCGCCGCACAGCGTTTCTCAATTAATTCCTGTAAAGTAGTTTCATTAGTAAAAGCATAATGCACATTAAACGTATCGATTTAATATAATGCAGATACCTTTGAAGCGCGTGTTAATCGCATACGATCTTTGCTTTCAAATTGTGCAGAATATTTCTTCAAATTCTTCTTAATTTCTTTTATTTGTTCTGGTGTTAATAACGTCGGTGGTCTCGGTCGCCATAATAATTGGTTAAATTGATTAAGATTAACTCTTTTTAAGATACGTCCTTGGAACGTCCATATCCAGTATCCATTATCCACACTAGTTTTCCAACTAGAAACAGCTGTTACCACATACCTATAATCACATAAGCATTTATATAATTTTCGTAATATGAAACATTCTGTATGTAAGAAAAAAAAATTTACCGCCCAGTCGGGTCCCATTCCACATCTGACGTTTGATAATGGTCAGTTGAATTCATGATAGTAAAATCATTAGTGTCAATGAATTCTAAAGCTCCTGCCATAGTTGTCAACCCAGCAAGCACAATAAATTGTCCAGATGGTGACCAGAACAGATGATTGCAAGCTTTTTTCTCTAACTTTTCTATTGGATAAAATACATATTTATACACATACTGCTATTTGTAAGACAATGTAAAAGGACTTACTAAGAAGAGCAGGTTGATGACCGTATCGTACTTCGTAAAAACTAACATTGACACTCGGAATCTCTCCATGAATAATAGCAAATTTGCTTCCAACGGGTTCCCAAGCAAACGCATGAATTGGTTCCTTTATTTCTACACTATCGACTGGAATTTGTTTTTCTCTCATATGAAAGATTTCAAAGTTGTACGACATACCCTGTTAGTGAACATATGAGTTATCATATGTGTATATACATACATCTTACTGTGTTCAATAGTTTGTTTAACAAGTACCGTATATTTCTGTTCCGTCTTCTCTTTACGTTTGGCAAAACGATCCACTTTCACACAAAGGTAATCTCCTGATTTTTGCCAGTAAATTTTACAATCAGCTACATTAAACAAGTTCTTGTTACGTATTTCATTTCGACTGGAATCATAATTAATAATTCGAATAATTTATGAACTAGTGGATATGTTGAAAGTGTTAAAAATTATTACTTTGGAATTTCGAGAAGAGTAACTCTAGCTGGGACATCTTTATCTTCTGGTACCCAGTAAGCAAGAACGTTATCTGTTGGAGACCAGCTAAAGTCTCGGATACCAGGAATCTTTATACTCTTCTTATCCAACAATCCAAATGACTGCAACATTTATAATGAGATATAAAAATTCAAAGTATCATATAATGACCCATAGTATTAAAGAAAGGGACATACAGGTGTTTCATACACACTCAAAACATCTACTCCCATACGTGCAAGATATTTATCATCGTGTGACCAGCGAAAAATTGGCCACACCGGCGAGCCATCTGCGTAGAATACACGCTTTTCTTGACCACTAAGAATATCCCAAATTACAAGACGTTTTTGATCAGAGCCAAGATCGTTCCGAGGAGTGTATGTTACTAAATAACGTTCGCCAGGTGAGAAATCAATACATTCAACACCCTTCTGGCTGAATCTGGCTTGTTGCAAAAATTGAGGACCACCCCATAATGCAACACCCAGTTTGTGGAATGTTGCTAAATATGTCCCTAATGGAGACCATTTCACATATGTCTCTGTCCATCGCTGTAACAAGTATAAAAATTGTATATTAAATACATGAAAGCTTATATTTACAACATAATTTAAGATATGTAACTTACAGAACGCTCTTCAAGCGATGTTGGTTCAGGAGCAGAGTTCTGCCAAACTTGAACAGTAACAGAGGGACCATTACCACAAAGTACACAAAATTGATCATAAGCATCTGGTTCCAACAGATAATAATGTAAATCTGCTGCTGCTTTAAACTCTTGTGGTTTTGGAGGTTCCCATTCATCTGGAATCTCTTCAAATTTCTTGAAATCAGTGAATAAATTTACTTTGAAGGTATGTTGCTTGTCAATTTTGTAATTATTTACAGCTTGAGCAGCTGCTAAGGCATTTGCAGGATTATTGTACTCTAGAAATATATACCTAAAATCAAATAAATTACATAATATGTGTAATCCTTGAAACTTTTGATAATATCACTGATGGTTATCACTTAGATCACAACTACACCTACCCTTTGGTATATCCATTTTCATTTTTAGGATAATATTGGTTTACTATAGTACCAAATTTTCCTAAGAATTTGCTAATGACTGATTGAAGTTTCTCCAGTCTTTCTGGCTCAACCTGAGGAACTCCATCAATGACAATTACTGATTCCACTCCATCTGTTTCTGATGGCTTTTGCTTCAAGATATCACCAAGAAGTTCTATATATATAAAAAGATTAAATATTTCATCCTTTCTCTTAACAAAGTGTCGAGAACAATTTTTTATTCGACACATATTTTAAGGGAATATTCAGTAGAAAATAAGTTAGGTACTCGTGCTTTTTAAGGTTAAGTATGCATGCCACATTTGCGAATATACGTAGCCATGCTTTCAGTCATTGTAGCATAGCTTCTGTTGAATGTCATTCATGAAAGGCCGCGTTTACCTTCGTCGGTGATATCGTCGATGAACCCTTCGGGATCGCTGAAATTTGGCTCTTCATCGTCGTTAACTGTATCGTCATTATTTTTTACGTTATCTTCGTTTTGAGGTGTTTTATCCGCTAACGATTTCTTCGCCATCTTGGAAACCTCTAAACGCACAGAGAATCAAGTGAAAATGGCAGCAGGTTGCCTTTCTGCATTCAATGCAACCTTTAATAGGTGGAAGTGGTCAAAATTGTGTCCACTTCTTAGTAGGCAAAAATAATCAATGCTACCGTACTTTAACGCATGTTGTATTAATCGTCATTAATAATTTCGTTTATATAACATTTTTGACAAATGTTGGAACATACAGTATAGATTAGCTACTATATTGGATAGTGAAAAGTTAGGATAAATATTAATATGCCAGAATACACTGAATTTATTTATAATCAAAGATTATAAATAAGTGTTAAAAGATTAGATACTTTTTGAATGTAGGAAGTTAGATCATAAATTTATGATCATGTGATTTTATACAAGTTTGAATAGAATATGTTGTTTCACCTGATAATACGATTGTGAACTATGTTCACGAACTTACTACTTTAAATCACGAATTAAATTTACAAGTACATTAGATTGTTTTACATTTTAAAGATAATCAAGTGCAATTCTTAATATTTACAGTAATTATTAAAAATCAATTTTGTGGAAACAATACCGTGTTATGGCATGAAACTTTAAAGAAAGCCTCTTTAATTTAAAAGAAGTTTGTTACCATTTTATACTTTAACTTAACTTTAAATTCAAATTAATAAAATTTATATCTTAAAGGATAGTATAAATCATCAGTAACAAATTCGCTATTTAAGAAATTGTAAATAAATAAATGTAGGCGCGTAAAATATTTGCAAAACAGATTGTAGAGTCTTCTACAGACTTTATGCTTTCCATTGTGGCCATTAAAATTAATAAATTAACGATAATTGGAAAATTACTAAATCGAGCACATTACATACAGAAAATTGGTTTTTCAAATTTGTTGATAATTTATTAATAATTGTCTGATTATTATACAAAAGTTGTACGACTATATCGCTACAGAATCACGTTTTAAAGTATAATAATAAATTCATATAATACATACATACATGTAATATTGAATTGATCATTAATCCATTATTTTCCTTTGACTAACTAATCAGTGAAATTATGATATTTTAATTTGAGAAAGTACTTGTGTTCTGCTTTAATTTCTCATTTCCTTTTCTAATCATTATTAAAAAATTATAATAATTATCGAAGTAATTATTAATGTGATATGTTCAATAGTTCAAATTAAGCTACATTATAGAATATTTATTTTATTAAATGCATCTTTATGTATGTAAATTATATTTTTTAAATAGTTTATATAATGATTAATATTATGTGAATACAACAATTTATTTTAAAATATTTTTTGCCGGTATGTGAATTGAGGTTATGTTTTGAGTAAAGGTTATAAGCCAGCATCGTTTCTCTTAATATTACTTTAAAATATGTATAAATTATTGTCAGCATCAATTAAAGAAGTAAGTCGGAAGATAAATGCCGGAGAAATACGACCTTCTGATATTACAAAAGCATCTATTAAAGTAACATCAGTAACTAAACCTCTAAATGCTTATATCAGTATTACTGATGAAACAGCAAACAAATATGCTAAAAGTTCAGATACGCGACAGCAAAGTAGTAGCTTATTGGGAGAACTTGATGGAATTCCCATTGCAATTAAAGATAATTATTGTACGAAAGATCATAAAACAACTTGTGCATCAAAGATGCTCTCAAATTTTATTCCTACTTATGATGCCACTGTGTATCAGCGTTTGAAGAATGCTGGAGCAGTTTTAATTGGTAAGACTAATCTGGATGAATTTGCTATGGGTTCTGGAACTATTGATTCTTATTATGGGATAACAAGAAATGTATGGAATTCAGATGTGTTAGAAAAATATTATTCTTGTGATAGTTGTATAGAGGGACATACAAAACAGTCTACAGATGAAAATTCTTGGCATATAGCAGGTATGTGTTAGAAAGTTGTTTTATTAAATTTATTCTGACCATTAAATTTTATTTTAGGTGGTAGCAGTGGTGGTTCTGCAGTGGCTGTTGCAACTGGAAGCTGTTATGCTGCAATTGGTTCAGATACTGGTGGTTCAACCCGAAATCCAGCATCTTACTGTGGTTTAATTGGATTAAAACCTACTTATGGTTTGGTTTCACGTTATGGACTTATTCCACTTGTAAATTCAATGGATGTACCTGGCATTCTTACAAGGCATGTTGATGATGCTGTGTTAGTTTTAAATAGTATAGCTGGTCCAGATGAAGCAGATTCTACTTGTTCAAGAAGAGAATATGTACCATTTGATATACCAAATACAATAGATGTTAGTAATCTCAGAATTGGAATACCACAAGAATATAAAGAAAAGAACCTATGCCCAGAAGTACAAAAATGTTGGGATGAAGTTTCTCAATATTTAAAAGAAGCTGGAGCCTTGCTTTTCACAGTATCATTGCCACATACGAATTATTCTATAATGTGTTATACAGTTTTAAATCGTTGCGATGTTGCTAGTAATCTTGCTTGCTATGATGGCATGGAATATGGTTATAGGGCAGATGAGTGGAATTCTCTACATGAACAGTATAAAAAAACAAGGACAGATGGTTTTGGTAAAGTAGTTAAAGAACGTATATTAGTTGGAAACTACTTTTTATTAGAAGAAAATTATGAGGAATACTATGTTAAAGCAATGAAGATAAGAAGACTTATATCAGACGATTTTAATGCAGTATGGAATAATAATATTGATCTTTTACTCACTCCTACTACTCTAACAGAAGCTCCTATTTACAGTGAGTTTATTTCAATGGATAATCAGGCACAATGTTCCATTCAAGACTATTGTACACAACCTGCTAATATGGCAGGTATACCAGCTATTAATGTACCAATTAAACTTTCTAAAAATGGTTTACCTTTATCTTTACAACTTATGGCACCTCCTTACACTGAGAAAAGACTTCTCACAGTAGCAAAATGGATTGAACAAAGGGTAAAATTTCCAAAACTTAAACTGAAGGATCTGTCTCTATTAGAATAAAATATTTTACATCAATGTTGTTTCGTTCTTTGCACTTTTCTACGACATACCTCCTATTTGTCATATTTACTTGTTTAATAGCTATCAATAATATTAGAATATTGTTCATTAATTTATTATATACGAGTGAAGGTGTTTATATTAATACATTTGTCCAATATTTCGTGCATAAAAACGTATGAACAATATCTCGAACATGATGAATTATAGCCACTGCAACACTCGTTGCGACGTGATATTTTATAATCAAACATCAAATAATTTACCGTATAGTCAGAAATTAAAATTTAAACAGATACATTTTCTCTGAAAATTGTGGCTGGCGTGAGATACAAATTATTACACTCCTACGAGGCATTGGCTGTATCTGAAATTCCATTCGTTGAGTAATCAGGTCGCATTTGCTTGCCACACTGGAGGACCCTTCTGTTATTGCATTGCAATGTAGCGTGCTTTACAAATGAATGCTAGGGCGATATATATGGCTGTAAATTGCTTGACACCAGTCTCGAATATGAAAGGGAGTGAAATTTTAGTTTAAAGTGGACAACGTCGGGGCTGAAAGATGGAAACGTTGAATAATCACTTCTTTTAATTATAAATACAAACATTTATCTTTATATTTAATATTTCAAATACAATTATCCATTTACGCATAATTCGCCATTTCACGAGCTACGTCATAATGTAGATGACATCGCTCCCATAATAATTTTTTATCGCATATAGTATATTTCACGAAATAATTAGATGTTGAAGCATTTATTGACCATTATTCATGTTCCTTATTCACAGGGGAATGTATTTGAAACTATTGAACAGCAAACATCCTGCAACGATGTTCTGACATTTTGAAGCCTATTGTCCTCGAGAGACTTGAGGGATTTGACGAACAAACAACGTTGTGTATGCCTCACATCGTGCAAGATCCTATTGAAGTTCCCTCAATAATTAAATCCTTGTGACATTTCAGTCGATTTTCATTACCATTTGCGCAGGAATCACAGGTAAACCGTAATGACAATTCCGTCGATAATATTCGTAACGATCAGAAAGAAGATTTCAGGGAATGCTAAAGAATTTGCAAATACACGAGTGATATTGTTCGAATACGTATTTTATACGTGCATATTGACGTATATAATAACGAAAAAAATGATCACGTAGATTCGTACGTTGCTCAACTGATAAAAAAGTATCGAAACAATCAACTTCGATAATCGAATTGAAAGTCATTTTTCATATGTTCGCTTTGTTAGAATCCATATATTCATATACATATACTTTTACAATATATACAAAAGATTCGCGTGTTACTATATTGTATCAGTGATATAAACATTTCACTCAAGTTTCATAGAATTATTTTTTATGAATTTCAAATAAGTTTTATAACATTGAGATAACATATAGAGGAATTGGAACGTGCACATTACCGAAGTACTCACAGATTTATAAAAGAAAGAATCGAGTTCCCATTACTCGATATTGCCTCGTATGAATTAAATCGATCGCGGTGCTACCCACGACCGATACGTGTCACCGTGCGAGGCAACCCCAAGAGGCGAAACTTCACGACCAATGAACGAATTGCATCACAGAACATTCCCGGTTATATAATGTAAGCGTGCATGGAAAATCGCTTGGATATTAAAGCATTGGAATATAGGAAGGTTGGCTCGAAAGGAGATTCATAATGTAAGGGTGGTCTCTGGGAGAACAGGGTTGGGCACGGGGTGCGAAGGGCGCATGCGTTGGCCCGGCCGAGGGCTGTCGTGTCGCTCTCTGCCGACGATTCCGGCAGTCGTCGTGACGACCTCGAACCGTCAGTGTCGCGAGTCTTGGCATTTGTTCGGATCGGTTCATCCCGTTGATCCTCGTTCTAGTTCGTTTTTCTACTGCTTTTATTTTTGTTTTCCGTAGCACACGGTGTCGAACGGTGGAGCAGAAATGTCGAGGTGGCGCGTTTTGAATCGCGTTCGAATTCGCGCCGCGATCGGCAAGTGTCCTGGTTCGTAGATATAAAGCGGGATCGCCGTTGTGCCGTTTGTGTCGATCGCGATATAATCGAGATCTCGATTTTCGTGGGATCGCGGTATAGTGTAGACGCGTTTCTGTTGCGCAGAACACAGATGATTGACCGTTACGGAAATTTAAACAGGTGTGTGCAGAAACTTCGAGTATTCTGATCAAACGTGCGAGATTATTTAAGGTAAATATTTGACGAACAAAGGAAGAAATTCATTATTCGTTGGATGGTGCGACTATTGTTTGGTGATGTTTCGGTTGCATAATGCTTGGAATAATATCGTGATGCGTTCAGAGATGAAACTACGTCTATTATTTGTGATATCGAATACGAAATTAGCGCGTTTATGACAGAAAACCGAGTAAACGAACGACGAACGACAGGTATTGTGATTAACTGTATATGACAAGTTAAGGTATTCGAATTTCGTAATGATTCAATCTGCAAATCTTTGAACATTGAGTTTTCTCTATTGCGCGCTAAAGATTTACATTCGGCCATTTTATAACCATCATTTTATGACGTTAATGGAGGGAAAATTGAACAATGTTACGTTGTTCATTTATTTTCAATATTATCTATTTATACATCGAAATTTTTCATTCCACTTATGTATTATAAAGTGCAGTAACCATATATATAGTAGTAATATGACATTAACCTATAAAAACACCACCAAAAAGTAGGTAAAACAAAATGTTATTAATTTAATCCAGTGATACTATACGGTAATCAAGCTTTCTCCTAAATGACAATTTATTATATTATTTTATCCGATTCCCCGTTACTGGATTTTAAGTCTTGGTAAACCGGCCGGTATTTACCGAGCAATGTATGAATAATAGATAACGCTGAAATACAAGTTCACGTTTCAATTTTCCGAATTTATTTCACGCGGAATAACTGATTTTACCGCAGTATCTCTCTAATGTTAAACAGAGAAACGGGACAAGCAGAGGGCATTATTAATGGTAATGAACGAAATGAATAATGTACGGGGTATTAGTGTCCGTACAAAAGATATGTTTAGTAAGATTAATTAAAATATCTGCACCACTTTCTAATTGCTTTTATTGCACGCCGCTGGATACAAATGGACTTTGTTGATTTTTATACAGCCCACGTTTAATTAACGCCATATTCTTCGTCGTTCTTTTTTCTTTCCATGTAGTTTTATCCATTCGGGTTTTGTTAATTACACGCGGAATAAATTAGAAACTTCAATTTATACTCTTTCTACAGAAATACAAAATACCAACGGTAGGTAATATGCACCGATATGATAAAACTTCGAGATACAATTTTCACATTAATACATACATCATTCAGAATAATTACTTAAGTTACATTTTCACAAACTTTTTCACCGAACTTTGTTTTCTTATTTCCAGCAATATACAGGGTGTTCCGTAATTTTAGCAATAAGTAGTATATCCAGCACACAATAAAAACAAAAATAGTTTTTAGTACACAGAGAAAGAATATAAATCGAATTTCGTCGAAATTCTCTCCAATCTTCGCAAATGTAATTTTCATTCTCCCAAATAATTCGTATTGCGAACTTTTTCTTTTGCACTTTCTCATAAGTAACAAGATCTACATAGAGATGTATAAGGTCAGAGATGATTCAAGAGAAGACTGGTGGTATCGGAAGTTGCAAAAAGCTTTTGCAATAACCTTTTAACAGAATCATTCACGATCTTCGGTAAGATTTTCTCGTCGGAGTTATTTTCGCGCAAGGTGTCGAATATTCGCGACACCACCCCTGTTTTCATTCATATTTTCACAACTCAGCGTCGATAATAGGGTCCGTCAATATTAGGGTGCACGACGGAGGCTTGGAAAATTGTGTACTTTTCTCTCTCTCTCTCTCTCTCTCTCTCTACGACATGAAGCGTGTACTCATTCGTTCTATTTCGAGGATATTGATCGGCTTTCATGCCATATGAGAATATAAGGTTTCGAGGGAAAGTTACATCGTTGCTTTACGCTCGACCTTAATATCTTTAACCATGATCACTATAAACTTTCCTAAGAATCTGCGTCCTCATCTCGCCTGTTCATGCATCGTCGTGTACAGTACATATATACGCGATCGAGATTCTCTATTCTAAACTCCACCTCTCCTCCAGAACTTTCCTCCGTTCGCGAGTAAATGTCAACAATTTCAACGTGAT